AAAAAAAAAAAAAAAAAAAAAAAAAAAATTGCATATCTTGAGTCTTTACCATTAATCAGTGGTGCAATACGTTAATATGATATGGTATCACAGGACAAATGAAAGATTTACAACAGTTAATAGTTAATCATGCCTCAGTATGGATTAGAAAGAAAAATCTAACAACTAATAATTAATGGTTAATACTTCTGTAGCTACACGAACCTCATAATGTTTAAGGAGCTCCAGTATCGCCAGAACAATATCATTGACATAACAGAACCCAGAAGCTTCGCACTTCTTCGCATGGTGTAGACCACCAGACCAATTGACAGCAATATCACAAACCTTATGGTTTAACTTAACGGCACCACCAACAGATCCACCAGCATAAGTTTGACAGAAAGAATAAAGGCCATCGAAGACAGGACAGTCCTCACCAACATTGAAGCGCTTAAGCTGTCTCAACTGGTCTTGCTGCGTTTCAGGGGTAATGTTTTTAAGAAACGCCACATAATCATCAGCGTGAAATCTGCAGAGGACTTTATCTCTCGCAGGAAGAGGCTTGAAAACCTGCATATGCTGGAGTAAGCCATAATGGGCGAGAAGGGCATGCGTCATTCGGATTCGGTGTGGCTTCATTGGGTGCCCCTGCCCATAATAGTAATTCCCGACCTCAGGGTCGTAGAAATAGCTGACCTTCCTCTTCACGCCGTCAGGCCCAGATGATAATGAATTGCCGCCTGTCTCCATACCCCCCACGAGGTACAAAGAATTCTAGGGCAAAAACAGCCAAGAAGTAGCCTAACTTTGAGTTGGGTCACCAAAATACTTAACTACAAATGGTCAGAACCCACAGGAATTCAATCAGATTTTATCCCAAAACGAAATTCAGAGAGCGAACATCAAAAACGAAAACAACGAACCAAAGCAAATTATAGTCTCTAACTTAACGTCAACATCCGGATTCAGGCAAAAACAACGGTTAATGAAACTACCTTCTCGTAATGAAAGTAAACGAAGTAGAACTTCGATGCGAGCGAAAACGTAATACAGTAAAGAAAGGTTAGGGAAATTGATCTTCCCTGAAGAATGAGCAAACAAAACAAGAACAAAAACCTGAAGCCGAGAAGAGAGCGCACCTTGAGAATGGTGGAAGAAGCGGCCCCAATACCTTCCTCACTATGCTCAACAACGAGACGATGAAATTGAAGCCTAGTATCTGAATAGACTATGGTTAATATATGGACTATAGTCCTAATATTTCGCTCCGATCTAATATATTTTTATTTTTATTTTTATAAATTTTTCTCTATATATATTTATTTATAAATTATTAATAAAGATAGATTTAAATTCATTAATGCATGAAAAAATAAAAATAAAATCAATATAATAATTAATTTTAAGTTTTAATTCATACACGTTAAAGTTAGGTATAAATTGAATTTTACCATGTTACCATGTTATAATATAATGTAAATATAAAACGTGACAAAAATTTATTAAACACGAATATATATATATTTTGAAGTTTAGGTCAAATTTGGAATATTAAATTTGTATTTTAAGGCTACTGTTTACTTTTAAAAAATAGCTTATACTATTTTTTATACTAATTAAACTCATTTAATGTTAAACAGTTTTTCAATTATGTTTTTATTTTCATATTTTTTTTAATCTTACTTTAATCAACCAATTAACTAATTAATATAGGAATAATATAAAATTTAATTTATAATTACATTAATTTGTTAGAAATAAAAACCCCATAAACATAATCAGTAAAATCTATTGAAAACAATGAACCCATAAAACAAACAATAATGTTTGATTTTTAGATGTTAATCATATTTTATATTTATGCCACAATTTATATAACTAAAAGAAAAACCAAAATTCCAGTTTAATTTAGGAGTTGACTTTTTTTTTTTTTTTGTTGGCAGAAGATTAAGAAAATTTAATGTTTATAATTGATGTTGGTGGTGATCTGATAGGACTCCCATAAATTTGACGGGCACGAAAAGAATAAAACAAAAAATAAATAAAAATGAAAATAAACAATAAAAAAGTGGAGAGTTGTGTTTATCTAACCTGGAATCAGAGTCATGCCATAAATTTAGCTATACCAATAGATAGGTAAGAACTCCAAAAGAAAAAAAGGTTGAACTTCGATTAAACTAAGGGGAGGTGTACTTTGTTCGAGGGAGGTGTTGGGTGATGAAAGTCCCAAAAGTCCCACATCGGCTAATTTAGGGAATGATCATGAATAGCCATGAGAGCTTAGAGCTTATGCTCAAAGTGAACGGTAATCGTAAAGACAGATAACATCGGGTATATGAATAAAAATTGTTTTTTCATAAAAAGAAAAATAAAATTGAAAGGGGCCGTTAGAAATTTTGATTCGTGTGTAAGGCTCACGAGTACTAAATGGTCTACCGTCTCCTTCCCTTACATTTACTGTTACTAAATTCCCATGAAGAAGACGATGAAGCCGCCCTCCATTTTCGACATCTATATAAACCTCGGCCCCTCTGGCTTCATTCTACAGCCATTGCCGCCCAATCAGTCCGAGACTCGAACGAAATGGAGCAGAAGCTTGAAAGCAAAGGCAAAGTGTGCGTCACTGGAGCTTCTGGATTTTTTGCTTCTTGGCTTGTTAAGCGATTGCTTTTGTCTGGCTATCATGTGATCGGTACTGTTAGGGATCCAGGTTTCTATCTCTCTCTGTCTCTCTCTTTCTCTCCGGTTTGAATTTGCTAAAGAATAGGGCATAGAGAAGAAGTTCACTGATTGTTTGAAACATTTGTTTAGGGAATGTGAAGAAGGTGGAGCATTTGTGGAGATTGGAAGGAGCCAAGGAGAGGCTTCGACTCGTCAGGGCTGATTTGCTGGAACGTGGGAGCTTCGATGATGCTGTAATGGGATGTCATGGCGTTTTCCACACTGCTTCCCCTGTCTTGGATGCAACCCATTCCAAGGTAAAATCCTTGAGAACTTGAGCGGATAGATTATCTATGCCTTATTTGTATTCTTGTGATCGTTGTGCTCTTGAATTCATCGAAGCTTGCTCTCATCAGATATGGATTAACGCATGGATTATGTTCTTCAAGGCTTACAACTTTTTTGTTTGGCAAACTCTCTGATACATTGAAGTCTAGTACAATTCTGATACCATGTTAAAATCAATATTGATGTTCTAATATGGTACCGTGTTTAATCGATACTGTGCTAAGTTACCACCGACCCCATAAAACTAAAACAAATTGATGAGAGTTAACTTAATCTTTCAAGATTCAGATTTAAAATTTAACCAGACTTTGAATTTTGTTTGCCATTTGAAGATCATATACTACTTTCCATGAAAAAGGTGGTTCTGATTCAATACCATTTTCTTGGAATCCAAACAGGACGAAACGCTGGAACCAGCTATTGAGGGCACATTGAATCTGCTACGTTCATGCAAGAAGAACCCATCTCTAAGGCGTGTGGTACTCACTTCATCTTCCTCAACTGTTAGAGGAAGAGAAGATTTTGACCCCAAAATACCATTGGATGAGTCATCTTGGACCTCTGTTCAACTGTGTGAGAGACTTAAGGTGCCATCATATAATCCCCATCCACATTCATTCTTTTAATAAGGATCTTGTTCTTGGAAACTATATTTGATCCTTGGCAATTTTCTCTTGCTGTGTTATCTGCTTTCAACATCGTTATTGAATCTAACTTAACATGACTGTTGCTAGCCATCATTTTGAATATCATTCTATGCCTATATGGATTTAAATTGTGTTTCCCATTTTCTTGCAAAAAAAAACACCTTGTATGGGACATCAAACAAAAGGTGTGGTATGCTCTTGCAAAAACTCTAGCAGAAAAGGCAGCTTGGGATTTCTGCAATGAAAACGGAATCGATTTAGTAACCGTGCTCCCTTCGATGATCATCGGGCCTAGTTTGTCGCCTGATTTATGTTATACAGCAGCTGTTGTCCTTGGCCTGCTTAAAGGTGAGTGAAACTTGAATGGCTTGCGATTTTTGCAGTCTTGGTCTTTAGGAATCAAATAGACTGAGTTTTTCTTTATTATTATGAAACAATGCCAGGGGAAACAGAAGTTTTCCAATCACTTGGAAGGATAGGCTATGTTCATATCGATGATGCTGCACTCTGCCACATCCTTGCTTTTGAGAACAAAGATGCTCAAGGCAGATACATTTGCTCCTCAATTGTGCTGGAAATCAACGACTTGGCACCACGCTTATCGTCTCGCTATCCTTCATTCCCCATCTCGAAAAGGTTTACTTCGATCGCCTTAACTATCGAGTTTCTCTTTTAGATACGAAACTTTGATTGGTTTGATTTTTGGTTCTTGGAAACTATGTTGAAATGTGAGGTTGAGAATGATATGAACATGGATGAACATTTTTTCTTCAGTTTTGAGGCATCAAACAAACCATATTATGATTTCAACATATCAAAGGTTGAGAAGTTGGGGATGAAGTTCAAGTCTGTGGAAGAGATGTTTGATGACTGCGTTGCATCTTTCTTGGAGCAAGGCCATCTTTCTTCACCTTCATTTATACCCCTCCCTTAAACTGGAAAATCACTTTAAACCTCCATGTTTGCAGTAATTAAATACAAAAATAAGGTTTATATATCATATTCGAAGAATCTATGCTCGCATTTATCCCTTTATTGAATAATTTTTGAGTTTGAATTGGTTTCATGTTTCATAATGAAGATTTTTCATGCTTTCATAGTTTGTCCATTTTTTTTTCTTTCATGAAATTTGACCTTATTTACGATGTGAATTGATCAAAACAACAAAAGTTATAGTTGACATACAACGAAGAAAAATGATAAAGTAATTCAAGTATTAGAGCGTGTTGATCTATACTAGGACATCCTCGACTTCAACTCGAGCCTCGTGTATGTTTGTTTCGGGGTGGAGTAAGAAACTCGGTTTGGCGAGTCTTACCTTGAGACCCTATCTCTAATGATGGAATGATGAGAGTAAATGGGAGTCGAAACGGGGCCTCATTGTCAGGCCATACCGAGGGTCTTTACCTTTCCTGCCAGCCATGTCGAGTCGTACGTCCTAATAGGGGAGATGATTGATTAGAAGTATGAGGTATCGAATAACTCAAGCGCCTCATGAGCTCTTCTCTACATCTCCAACTCAAACACCTCGGCTTCTCTCTCATAGCTATATTCATTATGAGGATTTAAACTTTTAGTCTCGATAAAAAAATTCCACGTGACTTTAGAATTATGTTCATATCCGCCGATAATTAATAATCTTTTTAGGTACAATAATTTTTAGATGAACGATTACACCACCTTTATTATTGACGTATACTTATGGCACCCATAATAAACATAATTAATGATCGATTGATTTATATTTTTGTCAAGATGCTTTACCGTTGGCCCAGTTAATTTTTTGTTTGGCTCGACCATATATGTTCCCGCTGCCCCCACCTTATCTTATGACTATTTTTTTCTAGTACAATGTGTGCCCACACCTAACATGTGTGGGTAATATGTATTGATTAATCCCTTTTAAGGTTTGATGCACTTTCCAAACACATCATGCCACCAAGTGCACGAAGAGTGCAAGTACAAGGGTCCAAGCCAACGACTAGCAGCTATTGTCATTTTTTAGCTTTCTCTTTCGAGCTTCCCCTCAAAGTTTTTAAAACGCGTCTATTAAGGAGAGGTTTCTCCACCTTCTATAAAGAATGTTTCGTTCTCCTCCCTAACTGATGTGGGATCTCACAACAAGCAACTGAGACACGGTTTGCGACAAACCATGCAAAGACTAAGTCAGTTCAATGTTTTCGCCACTGAAACATGTTCAAATTCAACTCACCTAATACTCTTTGAAAAAACATGCTTGACGTGTCAGCTAAGTATTAAACAACGACAAAAGATGAATAGATCAATCAACTAAAAAATTAAAAATAATTGAAACTTAAGACAAGAATGGTGTTAATAGGAAGGAGGGTTCAAGAAACATGAAGATGAAAGGTGCTTGGCCTCAGATTCCTTATTGAAATGGCACATTGATGGTGAATGGGCAGGTAGTCACAGCCCCCCAGCCCCATACAGCCACCACAGAAACAACATGTGGACGCCTTCCACCGCAATCGTCCAGTGGCTACACTAATCACCACACCTTTCCTTTTCCTTTACAAAAATGAATATTATCGGAAACCAATTTGCCCACGTTAATATATTTTCTCTTTCGGGCTTCTCTAACGGTCTAAGTTCATTACTAGTAAATATTATATTTTTTCATTTTGGACTTCCATTCAAGGTTTTTAAAGTCTAACCGACGTTGTGATAGTGTTGCTAACAAATATTGTCCTTCTTGGTCTTTTCATTTTGGGCTTCCTTCAAATTTTTTAAAACCCAACGGACAAGAGTTCATTTTGGGCTTCCCTTTTCGTCCCTGCTCGACGGGTAGGTCTTGTAGTCAAGTTCCCTTCTGCCTTTGCACTCGAGGGCCAATCTCCGTCTGGCTCGAGGAAACCTTTGAGGGCCAATCTCCGTCTGACACAAGGTTAAAATTCTAGGTCTTCTAGAGTGGTATCTCACTGATGGCTTCAGGGGGCCTTCTTGGCGCTCCACCTAAAAACAGTGAAGGTTCGTAGAGTTTTTCTGTCCCGGTGCAAATAGTTTTTAAAACCCAACCGACCTGGGATCTCATAGCTTCAGGTTTCTACACTTTTCTAAAAAATGTTTTGTTTTTATGATTATATTTTGGAGAACTTGGTAACGTTACAGTGTACATTGTTATAACTACGATGAAAATAATGAGTTTAAAAAAAATCAAATTATAGAAAATGACCCAAAAGTTTGTACTATATATTTTTTTTCTTAATATCTTTAAATAATAAAAATGGGAGTTTTGAAAGAAATAAATAGAATTTTGTTTAAAAAAACGAAGAGGTACAATAGTTTTTTATCTATATACCCATTTTATTGTTACTAATATTATATTTATCTTGTTCTAAAGTGTTAAATTATATTAAATATTTTATTCTATTAAGATATTTTAAAAGTACTTTTTGTTTTATTTTTGTGTAAAAAAAGGAAATTAAACAGTTCTAAAACGTCATCAAAGCTTCCAAAAGGCAAGCAAAGCAGGTAGTTTTTGCAGGAATCAAGAAGCTGGGGGTTCAATTTTCAGTGATTAGTACGTGGAGAAACTTGTTTCATGCGGTCCCTGGAGGCTCTGTGGCCTCATGCATTATCCATCCAAATCTTTCCCTGTATTTCCCTTTATTTCTTTTGTTTTTCTCTCGTGGGGAAATCTGATAAAGAGACAAGACTGTGGATAAACTGAGCTTGAATCAACGGTCATCATGGGATTTCCTCCAATTTACATGGGGTATGCAATTCGTTTGGGTGGGGGCATATTTATTGGCGAATGGGGACTTTATCTTCGACTGTCATCCCTTCTGCACACCACCTGTTCGATCAAAGTCCTCAGACAGCTTTTGGGTCTGATATTTCATTTTGAAACCCAGAAATGGTTTCTGGGTTTTCAGAATTCAGTTGAGAGTTTCTGACTTGTATAAGAATTCCCATTTGTGGGAGCTTCTGCTTACTTCACTTGCTTTGAAGTGGGTTCACTCTGTTTTTCCATATAATTGAATCATGCAGGTACAGCCGTTTGTTTCCTGTTTGTCTGCATTTTCTGTACTTGTGTTGGGTTTTTGCGTTGTTGGTTTGTTGGGGAAGATGATTCTTCTCTTTGTTTTCATTTGCTAATCTCTTTGGCAGCTGGTTTTTCGAATTCTTTCCTTTGTCAAGCTTTGTTTTGGCCTCGAAGATTGTTCTTATTTTGTTAGTATATTAAAAATTTGAAACCTTGGTGAATCCCTTTATTAATTTGACATTACATGGTAGGCGGTTCTGTTCACAAACTAAAAAGAGACATTAACAATGGAGGACAATCGAGGTATCAGCAGCAGCAAGCCAACCGAAAAATGGATGGCATTTGACCGAGAATCAAACACAACAAACACTCCTGGAAATGAAGCAAAAGTAGACAGAAAAAGCTGGCAAGCTTCTGCCACAGGGGCAATATCAACAGAAGCAATCATAGCAGAGAGGGCGGCGGAGTGGGGACTGGTGGTGGAGACGGACGTGGAAGAGGGCAGTTTCAAGGCCGTTGGGAGAGCATCAGGGGAAGGAGGGGGCAGCAAAAGATTATCAGAGAAAATCAGTGTCACAGAAAGAACATCAAGCTTTAGCAATGAAACTTCTGGAGTTTTTCCAAGGGCATCACAAGAGTTGAAGGATGCTTTGTCTTCTTTGGAACAGACATTTGTAGTCTCTGATGCCACCAAACCAGAGTGTCCCATCGTGTATGCGAGCAGTGGATTCTTTGGCATGACTGGTTATGCTTCAGAGGAGGTCATTGGAAAGAACTGGTAAGATCAATTCACTATGCGTTCTAAAAAGGAAAAGTAAAGAACTTTTTGGTGTAAAAGTTGTATGAAAAAGGCACTCCAAGAGAAGTACAATTTTGGGTCAAATAGTAAGTGGCAAAAGAGATGCCCAATAAAGATGTTCATTTATAATCATTTACTCTTTTCAGAAAGAAAGTTAACCCATATTCCCTTCTCTCTCTAATTTGCAAAAAGTTTCGTCCTTTCTGCATATTGCAAGAGGGAAAATTTTAGTTTATATATATAAATATATACACGCACAAGCTAGCCATGGAATGCCCAGGTGCATCTTGCTTGGATCTACAACATTGCTATTTCTAAATTTTTGATAGAGCCCCAGCTGGGCAGTGTAGATGCTGGTCGAATAACCAGTTTTCGAAGTCTTGGGTGTTAGGCTAAATGCATTGCTTATCCAAGATGGTTGGATTTCAAATGGAGCACAGCAAAATGAAAGTTGACTTGCAGCGAAGCTGCACTGAGCTTAAATTTTCTTACTTGGGTACTGACGGAGGTTTTGTTGGTGTTTTCTTTTTCTGGGTGGCAGTCGTTTTCTTCAGGGACCAGAAACGGACCAGAAAGAAGTTGACAAAATTCGATATGCAGTGAAAAATGGCAAAAGCTACTGTGGAAGGCTCTTGAACTACAAGAAGAATGGCACTCCTTTCTGGAATCTGCTGACAGTCACGCCTATCAAGGACGACAATGGCAATACTATCAAATTTATTGGGTTTGATTTCTTCTTCATCTTTTGCTAATGCAGATACTTTTGCACGCACATTTGACTGTCACGAGTCCTGCCTGTGCTTTTCCTGTGCACGAATTTTTGATAGAATAATCATAATGATAAGACTTGGAGTTACCGAAATACAAAGAGAATAAAGAAAGTTATGCACGACCACAAAAGTCTTAGTGTAAAAACTGTAATGAACTAAGAAATTGAAGAAGCAATGTTGACTTGAGAATCTTTCAACTATAAATTACATGCAAAAAAATTAAAGTTTCTCCAATTACTTCTGTACAGTTTATTGGAGCTTTGGTTTTATTATTTTGATGTTTTTTTTTTGGTAAATATAAACTCAAAAGAATGGTATTTTCTATGGCAGAATGCAGGTAGAAGTAAGCAAGTACACAGAAGGCATAAATGATAAAGCATTACGACCGAACGGATTGCCAAAGTCCTTAATCCGCTATGATGGTAACTGTTCTTCCAAATTTCTATGGCATATGATGCTACCTTCACCTCTAATTTTCACTT